GGTGGGAGTTGACCGTCACATTATAACACCCCCATGGCTGAAAGGGCGAGCATGTTTGGTGTGATGGGGATTTGAACCCGTGACCCACAGATTGCAAGTCAAGCGCCCTTAACACCTGGCCATCTGGGCCCTTTATTCATAGGATTTATAGAAAAATGGTTGTATATTAATAAAACTTTTACCTGGTCTTTTGCTGTTAATTTTCATGGTAGTTAAGTCCTCTATATTTTCATCCATGACTGTTGGGTTCCTGCCATCAGGAAGGTTTACCCTCACAATTTTTTCATAGATAGTATCCAGATAGTATAACCTATTGTTGAAAATTGCCAATCCCTGTGGTTTTGAGATGCCAGCACTGGTTGGCACAACTGTCTTCCGGCCCTTACCATTAAAGTCTACTGATTCAATCTATAAAGATACAAGTTTCAATATAAAAAAGTTTATAGAGCATTCTATAATTCCATTTTTTTTCATAAGTACCTGAAACTTTATATCACAGTGGATTTAAGATTTTAGCAAAAAATGGCTTTTTTTTGTAACCATATTCAAGGCAATTACTGTTACGAGCACAATCTTATTAGATATTCAAGGAGCAATTACAATTAAACCCATAATTCTATTCTTTGTTATGTTACCAATTACAGTGCAATTACTATTACATTAGTAATTTCATTACTAGTTTGCTATGTGTACATTGCAATGGCTAGTAAAAATTATTGATGACTTTATTTATATAAAAACCAATTGTTTAGTCATATCTTTAGTAACGTTTATTGTCCTGTGGTAGTTTGAGTTGTTAAACAAATGTGCCTTTTTGGTAACTGCTATTGGGTGAACCCTTTTAAAGCTCAGTTCATTGTGCAAGTGGTTCCATGTTCAAATCCTATATATGGGAAATATAAAAAGAGCATAGAAAAACTCTCTCCCTCTTACAAACAAGGTCTGTTCATGGACCTTACCTGCAGATCATGGGATATAACTACCAGTTAGGTGCCAGTTTTCCATCATTCTTTTTAGAAACTCCTATAAGCTGGATTTGAACCTTGGACCATTCAAAATACAAGCAAGCAAGTACTCTACCAACTAAGTTAGAGGGTTAATTTAATCCACTAGCACTTGGTCGTAAGACACTTTTTAACAACTCAAACTGCAACAGTCCAACCTTAGTCATAAAATAATAAAGATTAATACATGTCAATAAAAACAGCAAAACCTAAAAAAATCAAAAGCCCAAAATCAGCCACACTTATAGCTCCAATTTATTAAGCTATCACAAAATTCCCTAAAGAAAACACAGCACATTCAAAATATAACCAAGAAGAATATACAAAGAATCAAAAATAACTCCTAATATCAGTAAAAATATATAAACACTTAAATAAATTTATAAAAGAAACATCTTGATGCATTTAATTTCAGTTTTCCTCTCTCTACACACACAAATTCAATTGCTCCATTCATTAAATAGAGTACCTTTTAAAATGTACTTTTAACTTAATTGAACTCCTTCAAGTTTTTATTGAGATTTAACTAAAAAAGCATTTTCTAGTCACCAATATGACAACTTAAAAAATGTAATTTTACAGAAATGTTTTTACTAGCTCTTTTATTTAGTAAAGTAAAAAATTAATATTTAAAAGACTAATGAGATAGTTCATCATAGACCAAACTAAATTTGAAGCCTACTACATACTTAAGACCCTCATTTGAAATATAAATTAAAGACTATACGGTATTCTTAATTTAAAGAACAAGCTCCATATTCCTAAACCTAACGTCAACTGAAATAAAACAGACATTTTACAGGTGCATTGATAAATTATTTGAAAGTCTTCTTTGAAGAAATTATAATAGTGTATTGCATGAAGAAAATAGACTATACTTATATTTTTTGATCAAGTAACCACTTTCAAAATTGATTGTCTAGATATGAAAGAAATTATGCAAACTTGGTAAATTATAGTAGCTTAATTACAGCATTTAAATCCTAATCAGTGAATGCTATGTAAATTTAGGGTCTCAGAAATTAAATAAAAAAAGTCTAACAATTTGATTTAAGAGTAATGAAAAAGCTTCTCAACTACTTTATAAAACAGACTAGACTAATTATTATATCCCTTAATATTTAAATGCTTCACTAAAATACACTATAAACCTGCAAAGCTCTCCAACTAAAAAATGTCCAAAAAAATTAAAAGGTGCAAGTATTATATCTAACCTCCACAGTCTTGTGCATAAAAAGGTATCATGTTATTATAAAAAGAATTCAAATAAATTTGAGAAGTTGTGCATGTGTGTGTTTAACTTATACTTCTTTTTATGTATGTGTAAAGCTAAGAAGCATAAAACCTTAATCTTTCAAAGCTAAATACATACATTTCATCACAACACACTCACCTCACCTGTAATTTCCTGGTTTCAGCAAGGATATATATAAAGATTATAAATACACAGACATATATATATATATATATATATATATATATATATCAATAAATAAACCATATTCGAAGGCAATTACTGTTACGAGCACTAATCTTATTAGATACTTCAAGG